CCACTCACCTCAGCCTCCCAAAGCGCTGGGATTACAGGCTGAGCCACCAAGCCCGGCTGCTTCATCTTATTTTTAATAACCATTTATCATTTTCCACCATGCATGCTAAGACCAGTCCTTTGACTCTTCCTTTTGCCTTTACCCATTCTCTTCTTAATTAGCCTGATTTTTATCATCATCTATTAAGACCCTCGAGGGGAAGCTGAGACAGCAAATCTGATGAACCATTTAAAACTTTTGCAGCAGCTAAGGTTATACTGGGAGAAGGGAGTGCACATTAAAGGGGCACTCATAATCACGGCATGTGTGCATATTCCTGTCAACATAACGTCAGTATCACATGGCTTCCATACAAAGCATATCAGCTGCCTTATCTGGGGTATACCACTTGGCATTTAGAGGAAAAAAGGTAAGTCCTCTCTTCTGGGTGAACAGATCTAACAGTGTTTTTTATCCATTCCACCAGGCCGTGCTGTTGTCTGGATAATGCACAGCTATCTGCGACTGTTCCAACGTGAGCTGTGGGTTCTGCATCAACTCAGACATGCTCTTCCACTCGGCAGCATTTAAAACCAAAGACACTGCCCCTAATTTAGTAAAGATTCTCCAGGAAACCGATGATATCAATCTATAAAATGACGCAATTCCTTCACGTTATACCTCCCGGTTTCAATAATTTCTTGGTTTTGCCCTACCCCACATACACAGACTTTTTGGTGACTAGAGGTCTAGAAGAACTTTCTGTTGTCCTTCCATAAGTTTTCCCATGGTGGGTGGCTGAAGCTCAGACTCGCTAAAGTCTGAATTGTCTCAAGCATCAAGGTCCAACCCAGCACTCTTTCAATTTCCCTTTAGCTAGTACAGATAACGACATCCAAGAGACTGAATACTTTGCCTTTAAAAAATTAGTCTGCATTTCCTTGGAAAAGCTCCATGGGAGTTGGATCTATCTCTAATTTTCATTGGTAAATTTTGCTTTAGTAACTGATCTCAGGACAGCTGCGGCTCCATACCAAAGATGGCCACGTGGCCACAGCACTGTTTTATCAAATCCCACTTAATTGACTCCAAGTATACAGAGAGAGAAAAGTTTGTTTCTTCCTACTATCCAAGAACAAATCTGAAAAATGGGCTTAATAGTAACACTTGCCTAAGGATCTGTTGGGATGATGAAAGAAGATGCTGTGTGAGAACTCACTGAGCACCAACGGTGGTGGAGTGAGGGGAGCATCACCAGAGATAGAGGTTTGGGCATCCAGGGGCGCATGAGGACACAGGAGGAGTGAAAGGGACCACTGAAATTTAAAAGACTTGGAAGATAAAGCGACTGACTCTGCAATATTCCCTGTTGTCAACCCTGTTGGGTTTCAGCTTATGAGGCAGCAAATCTGACCTGACCTAAAGATTCAAGACACCTGTTTGGCATAGTATGTAAAGACCAATATCACATGGGCAGACTCAGGTATTACATTTTAGAATTTTTGACTACCACACTACCATGAAGATTTACAGGAACAAATTGGAGTTACAGTACACACACACACACCAGGCATGGTGGCTCGCACCTGGAATCCCAGCACTTTGGGAAGTGGAGGTGGGAGGATTGCTTG